AGACAGTAATAAATGACCTTATCCCAACAATAGCTAGCCCCTCAAGGTCCTGGAAACCTTGCTTCCAAAATTCCTTAGAGACTTAGGCTATCCCTACCCCTCTCCCAACTTGAAAGTATATAATGGGCCACTCCTCATGACCCCAGTGCCGCTCTTTCTGCCCACGGGTCCTGTCCTCGTGCTTTAATAAAACCACCTTTTTGCACCAAAGACGCCTCAAGAATTCTTTCTTGGCTGTCAGCTTGGAACCCTGACGTCTTTCCTACATCAATCATGATCTGAGCCGAAGTCAGACACTTAACTGACTGAGCCACCCAGGTGCCCCTACTTTCTTGTTTTTAAAGCTGCACAATGTTTTATTATACAAATGCACCACAGTGTAACCAATGCACTATAATTTATTTAACCGATGTATATACCGCCTCCAACAGAGTAAACAAAAGTGCCCATTTTTCTATATCCTCATCACTCGGATTTCTCTCTCCACACAGTGCTTGGCAGTCCCCAATTTTGCCTGTTTGTGAGCAATTAAACTGGATTTTTTAAAATACATTTTGTAGGGGTGCCTGGGTGGCTCAGTCGTTAAGCGTCTGCCTTCGGCTCAGGTCATGATCCCAGGGTCCTGGGATCGAGCCCCGCATCGGGCTCCCTGCTCTGCGGGAAGCCTGCTTCTCCCTCTCCCGCTCCCCCTGCTTGTGCTCCTTCTCTCGCCGTGTCTCTCTCTGTCAAATAAATAGATAAAATCTTAAAATAAATAAATAAATAAAATAAAATACATTTTGTAAACTTTGTAATTTTGCTGGGGGCAAGAATTTCAATTCTTTACTTCTATGGTTCTCAAATTTTAGCATTCATTGGAATCACCTGGAGGGCTTAAAGTAAAGGATCTAAGGATATGATGATTTTTACCTAGAAAAGAGACTTTCTAGATAAATTAAAAATATTATCGGGTCCCTGGCTGGCTCAGTTGGTAGAGCATGCTACTCTTGATCTCAGAGTCTTGAGTTCAAGCCCCACATTGGGCCTAGAGCTTACTTAAAAACAAACAAACAAAAAATATTATAGCATCTGGTTCAGGGGTGCTCCATCTGTTGTGTAAATGAATTCACAACCAAAAGCTTAAAAAAATTTTGTAAAAACTCCAGCTGTTTCAGGAAGTATTCTGGCTAACATAAAAACAGCTCACTAGATAATTGTTGAAGCTGAAAATGTGATTAAAGTTGAGTGACGATAATACATTGGAAACATGACAAATGTGATTTGCAAAGACAAAGTCATACGCCTGGTATAAATATCTCCATATTTGCAAATCTGGGGAGTCAAGGTGACCTTGAACATATTCTTTGCCAATGTTAAGAGTTTAATATATTCCCCTTATTTTACAATATATTTTATTTAGACTGACCAATCATGATTGTTATCCTTCAAACACCACAGCCATCAAACATTACCCAATGTAATCTATTCCTTTGAATTTCACATAGCCTTTCCTTGAGATCTCTCTCCCAACATTTATATTCATTCATTGTAGAAGTACTGTTAATGATGTGGAGAACAAAGGCAAAAGGAAAAAAAAATTAAGCTTCCTTATAACTTACAGTCCATTGACAAGTACTTGGGACAGGCAGGGTGATCTTCCTCCAGGAACTCAACTAACTCAAAGTTAATACTTTGCTAAACGCAAAAGGCAACCTTAGATTGACATTAGCCCAACCTCCAGGATCTTGTAAGTCTACTTTAACATATGAAAATCCTTTTGGAAACTTCCTTTATCTCTACCCCTTCCCCCCAAGATATATGTTAGCAATCATCCTCCAAGCATATGGTCCACTGATATACATCTGAAGGGTCTCATGACTAAGGTTGTACTAAAACAGTAATAAATGACCTTTTCCTAACAACAGCTAGTCCCTCAAGGTCCTGGAAACCTTGCTTCCAAATTCCTTAGAGACTTATGCTATCCCTAACCCCCTTCCAATTTGCAAGTATATAATTAGTCACTCCTCACAATCCCAGTGAAGTTCTTTCTGCCCATGGGTTCTCTCCCTGTGCTTTAATGAAACCACCCTTTTTTGCACTGAAGATGCCTCAAGAATTCTTTTTTTTTAAACAATTATTTATTTATTAGAGAGACACACACAGAGAGGGAGAGCTCAAAGGGAGAGTGAGAGGGAGAAGCAGACTCCCTGCTGAGCAGAGAGCCCGATGTGGGGCTCAATCCCAGGACCCTGAGATCATGACCTGAGCCGAAGGCAGCTGCTTAACTGACTAAGCCACCCAGGTGCCCCTCAAGGATTCTTTCTTGACTGTTCTCTCCGAACCCCAACATTTCACATCATTAGGACTCTAACTTTTAATAGTTGTGACACATAATTGTGAGACTAGTTTCTAAATCTCATTAGTATATATGAAGACAGTGGTGATATCTCAAGAATTATTGAAGACCTAGGTATTTTAGGTGTGAAGGAATAAATCTTCGTGTTTGGGGTGGACAGAAGGGCAAAGCTATTCTGAGTCTGTATTCTGTCCTGCTGTATTACCAAAGATTTGTAACAGTTGGAATGCTCTATTTTTCTACCAGCCAACTGACCACCAGTAATACCAGATTATATATATGTGCTTTTATCTGATCAAATAGTAAATGAATTTACTGAGTGGCAAATGATATGGAAAAGGAATAGGAACTATGGTATAGCATGGTAGACTGCTTATTACCTAATTCCTTCCTTTCTTTCCTACTAATAGAATCTCAATTTTGTTGGAGGGTGGCCATTTGCTCAGCCAAAAAATTCCTCAGCTTCACAGTTAGGGTAGCTATATGACACTGTTCTCTCCAAATACATGTGAGGAGAAAGTTCTGCTTTACTTAATTGAGTATCCTCCTCCCTGGAAGATGGACATGTTGGCCAGGACTGCAACAGCCATTTTGTGACCAAGAGAAAAGCCAAGAGAATTTCAAAGACCTCTGTCTTGATATCCTTGTACTCCCTAATTAATACCAGCAACTGCCTACTTTTTAGACCTCTCCTTATATTAGAAAAATAGAATGTTTATTGTTTATTAAAGACACTGATTTTGGGTCTCTGTTTCTCCTAGGTGCAACTAATAAAAAAGACAAAGGGGGCACGTGGGTGGCTCAGTAGGTTAAGCGTTTGCCTTCGGCTCAGGTCATGATCCCAGGGTCCTGGGATCCAGCCCCATAACAGGCTCCCTCCCTCTCCCTCTGCCCCTCACTCCCTCCACCCCTGCCATGTATATGCTGTCTCTCTCAAATAAATAAAATCTTAAAAATAAAAGACAAAGAAATATGTACAAATCTAGACCCTTAAAGAACACACGTAACAGTAAACAATACAAGACAGTGTATAAATTACTACTTCATGAAAAATCATCAGGAAATGCCACAGGAGTTCGGGGGAATATGCTTTACAAAACAAATGAATTAAAAACAGGTCCTAAAAGGTCATAAATCTGAGTGCTGATATAAATTAAAGTTGGGATACAGAGATATTTTTAAAAGCCTGTCTAATAGCATTGAGCCACTTAAGCAGTTGTATTTAAATCTTGATTCCCTGCCCCCTCCCTTTTCTAAATATAGACTCAATAGTGGGCTTTCCACTTACTCATATAGTACCCAGAGAACATCTGATGTTATCTTAAAATAGAAGAAAAGAAGGACTTTTTGTCAGAAGTCACCTCCAGGAAGGAAACTCACTCAAGTTTCAAAAACAGCACCAGCTTATAAGGAGTAATTGTTCGTGTTTACAAGGAAGCCATAAAAAGTTGAGATGTGTTTAAATTAGAAATGGGGGCACCTGGGTGGTTCAGTCAGTTAAGCCTCTGCCTTCAGCTGGGGTCATGATCCCAGAGTCCTGGGATCAAGCCGGGTGCTGGGCTCCCTGCTCAGCGGGGAGTCTGCTTTTTCCTCTCCCTCTCTTTCTGCCCCTCCCCTTGTGCACTCTCTCTCTCAGATAAATAAATAAAATCTTAAAAAAAAAAAGAAATGATAATTTTAACTGGTTGGGAGTGTCTAGTGAGAGCGAAGCCAGTGTCCATCTTGAATACTAGATGGAGGTCATATCGCCCACAAGGCAGGGCTGGACCGGCCACGGAGGACACAGAACACACAGACCAAGACTCAAGAGATGGCAAAGCTTGCTTATCATTCAAAAGCATGTAGGGGCCGAGGGTAGGCCGCCCCAAGATGGGCCACTCTGGCATGAAGATTATTTTGAGCTGAAGGCAAGACCCTACGGGCTCAAGAGAAACTTTTGCCCATGCTTTAAACACTTAGAAGAACTCTTAAGTGGGGGTCTTTCCCAGAATAAGGAGAGATCCATTTTACCTGAGTGACCCATCTGTATGGCTGGGCAAACATCTGCTCTTCTTACTGCCCTGTGAACTGCATTCCTTTCCTCTCAAGTCCCTGACCCCTACTCCCTTCTCCTTAGTTCAGAATGACACAGAAACCTCATTTTCCCTGTCTTTGGAATTTCCATGTCTGTGTGCATTACCATATGTACGCTATTAAATTTGATTTTCTCCTGTTAATCTGTCAATTGATTTCTTAATTGATTCTCAGTCCATCGAAAAGAACCTTCGAGGGGTCACAGTTTAGCTCATAACAATGATTAACATCTAAAAAAAAATTCATAGAATGTTAAACATACATAATAGATGTTAAATAAGGAATCTTCCTGTTTCAGTTCAATTCAGGGATGGGTATCCTACTAAGGTGAGGGAAGGAAAAGAGAGAATTGGCTTCATGACTGGGGCCCTTACCCACTTAAAGAATACAAAAGGGTGAAGAGTGAAGAGGGTATCTGGAAGAGTTGTTGCTGTGCCCTCTGCCTCCGAGGGAATGGGTACGGCGGAGCGCTACCTTCTCACCAAGCAAGAGGGGCCTTTCATGGGGTCACCTGGAGAATGTGTTTTCTGCGGAAGACTGAGGCCTGATCCAAGCTACAAAGGATATTCCGTGGGACGGAAGTGGCTCTGCTATGCTCCACCAGCAGCACATACACTAAAATTGGAACAGTAAGGATATTAGCATGACCCCTGTACAAGAATGACATGCAAATTCATGAAGTGTTCCACCTTTTTTATAGTTGAGAACACTGTATTGTATAATTGAAGTTTTCAGAGAGTAGAACTTAAGTGTTCTTAAGTGTTCTCACAAACACACAAAGATAAATATGTAAGGTGATGGGTGTATTAACTAACTAGATGGGGAAAATCCTTTTACAGCGTATATGTATATCCAATCACAATGTACACTTTAAATATTTTAGAATTTTGCCAGTTATAACACCATAAACATGGAATTTTCTTTAAAAGATTTTATTTATTTATTTGACAGACAACACACTGAGAGAGGGAACACAAGCAGGGGGAATGGGAGAGGGAGAAGCAGGCTTCCTACCGAGCAGGGAGCCCGATGCGGGGCTCGATCCCAGGACCCTGGGACCATGACCTGAGCCAAAGGCAGATGCTTAACGACTGAGCCACCCAGGTGTCCCATAAAGATGAAATTTTTAAAAAGTGGCTTTGTTGTCATGGCCTGTACTCCTAGAGTCTGTCAGAGCCAGGGATAAGTGAATGCTCCCACACAGGAAGGAACCAGCCAGAAATGTATTTCTGTCCAGCCCACAAGAGCCACCTGAGAGGGAGGGACTTCAAAGGCAAGAGCCTGTATGGAGTGGATCACTCAAAAAAAAAAAAAAAATCAGGCTGAGGTGGAGTGGGGTGCCCCTCAAAATTAATATGGGGTTACAGTGAAAGAAGAGAAAGTCAACTTTAAATATCTTGCAGGCCCAGGGAGCACAAACCTAACCAGTCAAATAAGAACTCTCATTTTGGGACACCTAGGTGGCACAGTCAGTTAAGCGTCCGACTCTTGGTTTTGGCTCAGGTTGTGATCTTGGGGTCCTGAGATTGAGCCCCTCATAGGGCTCCTCACTCAGCATGGACTCTGCTTAAGACTCTCTCTCCCCTTCCCTCTGCCCCTCCCGCCACGTGCTCGCGTACGCGTGCTCTCTCTCTCCCCCCCAAATAAATAAACCTTAGAAAGAAAAGGGGTGCCTGGGTGGCTCGGTTGGTCCGACTCTTGGTTTTGACTCAGGTCATGATTTCAGGATCCTGGGATTGAGCCCTGTGTCGGGCTCCCTACTCAGTGGGGAGTCTGCTTGAGATTCTCTCTCTCCCACTCCCTCTGCTCCTCTGCCTCATGCTCTCTCTCTAAAATAAATAAACTTAAAAAAAAAAAAACACCTCTCATTTCTTTACTTCCTCAGTAAAAGAAATCCTTCCCTCCTCCCCTATTAACCCAAAAATCTGAAGCAGTGGCTAGTGGGGGAAAGAGCAGCAGTAGGGAAAGAGAGAGGTTGACTATGTCCTCCTCTCTCATCCCAGATCACTGGCCACCACTAACTAGGGAGGGGAGGAGCCACCTGCAGTAAGCCATAGCTTTGGGGTGGTAAAGAAGTCTGTGTTAGTTAGGATAAGTTATGGGGCAGTAACAACACAAAAATCTCAGTTCCTTAACACAAAAAAAGTTTATTTTTCATTCACACGAAGTCCAATATGGGTCCAGATGACTCTCCAGGGCAGCTGTCCTCCACGGATTGGCTCAATATTCCAGGCTGCTTTGATACTGTGTCATCTCCATGTCATCATGATGCTTCAGGATTTGCTCCAACAGCAGGAAAGACTATGGACAACTGTGTCCCTTTTCATAACTACACTGGCCCAGAAGTGGCCATACCATCTCCAGACAGTCTATTGGCCACAATAGCAAAGCTTGCCCGAATACAAGAAGGGGAGAAGAGCTAAAAATATTGGTGGGTACTAGTAATGTCCATCTAGAAGTCTCACTACAGAATTAATATTGAAATCATGTGTAATATATGACTAGGCACTGGTATTTACAGAAAATGAGATTGACTGCTTGTGATTGTCTTTGGGCGCCTGGGTGGCTCAGTCATTAAGCGTCTGCCTTTGGCTCAGGTCATGATCCCAGAGTCCTGGGATCGAGTCCCATATCAGGCTCCCTGCTCAGCCTGGAGCCCTCTTCTCCCTCTCCTACTCCCCTTGCTTGTGTTCCCTCTCTTGCTGTGTCTCTCTCTGTCAAATAAATAAATAAAATCTAAAAAAAAAGACTGTCTTTTACAGTCTGAGAGTGAGCAAAAAGTCACAGGCCTACCAGAATTTTTACCAGCAGCAAGAAAGATTACCACCACTGAATAAATTTGAAAGGGGAAACAAGAAAAAAAAAATAAAGTTGTGTTCTATTTACATCCTGTGCCTCATGTGGACTCCACATACTAATCACATCTTTAGAAGAGATCACAGAAATCAAGTTAAACTCCATTTTTCATAATAAGACCTTTAATCTTTCTCTAGCTTCAAGACTGTAACTCTAGTTCTCTATGTGAGGCTAGAAATGTTTGTTTTTCTCCGACAGCTCTGTTTACTAAATAGTCTAATTAAATGAAGCCATTTTCTTCCAAGAACATAATTTATTTAAGTTTTTAAACTCCCTGGAGAAAGGTCTATTTTCTTTTTTTTTTTTTTAAAGATTTTATTTATTTATTTGACAGAGAAAGACACAGCGAGAGAGGGAACACAAACGGGGAGTGGGAGAGGGAGAAGCAGACTCCCTGCCGAGCAGGGAGCCCGATGCGGGACTCGATCCCGGGACTCCAGGATCAT